GTTTTGTATGGTGTAAAATGTGTGAAAACGACGTCTGTTAACACACTACACCGCAATTTTTATTTTCTATTTATCATGAAAAAATCCCATATGGAGTCTTTGTAAGGTACGCTTAAAAGCTTAGGGAGATTATCTTTACTTTTGTGATAGAAAGCATCCTCGCACCACATCATGGAGCTGAGAATAAATTTTTAAAAGGGATACAATCTTTTATAGACGCTCTGTAGATGGTAAGAGAATTTGCAACATTAAAATTAAACTATACACAATATAATAATAATATTGAACTTCGATGATATTTTTTCAAATAAGCCTCCCATTTTCTTTTCACATTTGCAAAACTGAATTTCTCAATTATTCAACATCCTGATATTCTGCATTCACTTGCCAGTAATATCCAACATTCCAGTAGTATGTTCACGAAATCCACGTTGTCAACTACACCGTACAAGCATCACGCTACAACACCAGCCCTCGAACGCCCATATCTTGTTCGTGGTTTCTATAAAGGATTAAACTTCGGCTTTGCCGGTCCATCGAAAACGTGTTCGAGTAACCAATAATTTCACGCGTTGCTTGTATCGGCGGAACACCGTGCTGCATAATAACGAAGTCAAGTATAATGAAAAGTTGCTACCGTTTGCTACTTGTCGCGCCATTTAGTAGAAATAATTAATCTCCGAATCGAGGAACTTCGCCGAAGGGGGGAGAAGTTGATTCGAACGATCGTTAGCGGAGAGTGTCGACGTTTACAATAAATGCGACGCTTCATAAGCGAAGTTGTAGATCGGCGAAGATAGGTAGAAAAGAAGGCAACCTTCGTCGCTGAAGTTCCGCAAGTTTCCTTTCAATATAAGCCAAAGAATTCCGTCGTCGCGAGAGACCGGCTGCGAATAAACCGAACCGGAACGGCATCAGGATCTTAAATAAGATACTCGTTACGTGATGCCAGAACTACTGAAGCCCCCATAATCTTTCGAACGGTGGGAGGAAGGAGATTAAACTTTGACTTCGCGAGTTTGTTTCCGCCAGGATCGAGCAGCACGGTTCCCTTTATCCAGAGGAACGAAAGAAGAGAGAAAGAGAGAGAGAGAGAGCAAAAAAAAGAATGGAAACTGTCCGACCTGTTTCGGCTTTCTTACCAAAGTTCTTTACAAAACGCTGTGGGGGCAGGGAACTGAAACTATGGGAGCACATGCTGCATACGATCTCGTTTCAGAGGAGAATGTGAAGAAACTTGTTCGTGATACATTTACAAGAAACATCATTTTCGCTGAAATTAAACATTTGCATTTAATAGTAATTTTCGTAATGGTCGATACATTTTTGGCAACGTGTTACTAGAGCGTTAATTCTGAGTAATTCCCAGTGAAATTGTGCATTTTAATACAGCCGAGACAGTTCTAGATTTCTGCTGTAGGTTTTTTGAAAATTTTCCTGCACGATGGACTTGACGTGTGAAAACTCTTGTCACATGCGTAACAGACATCGCTCGAGTACCGGTAGACATTTTCCCGCAATAAAGGAAACTGGCGAAAGTTCCCTACCCGAGCGCAACCTTCTACCTTCGATGAAACAGCATTTTATTTAGGATTTCTGGACAGCCGGTTGTTACATACGCGAGAAATCGTAAATATTATTATTTTTCAATATCTGTTCATTTCCAGGAATCCTAAAACGATTTTACAACTAAACAAACCCAAAACACCTCTCTCCGTCAGCTCACAAACCACATCCATAACAAAATAGCTACACCAATCAGGAAACACCTCCACATACACTCTTACACCAATAGTGAAATAGTAATAGTTGATAAAAGACAGTTTTTCCAGCGACACGTCAGATACACGCCAACTTTCGACCAGTGAACACCATCACATTCTCGCGCAGACATACATTAAGAAAATACACATAATATTAAAATAATTAACTCTTTCGTGCATTATTTCTCAACATTTCCCGCGCACTACCTAAGTCCAGTATCCTAAGTAAATTCCTTGAGTGGTTTAACTCAAAAAGAGTTAATCCACATTTTGCGATCCGTAACACTCTCCATAATAATTTCGTGACAATTTCGGTCTCTAATTCCTTTCAGAGTACAAGGAATCCTTACGAAGAAACAAAATATGTACCACGTCAGTCTTATCACACCTTTTCATATCGCGTTCATTGTGGTAGGCATAGGGGAGAGCGAGAAGCAAGAAATGCTATTTTGATATTAATTGATAGTTCGAAGTGTCTAGTTTGTATTAGTATGGCCGAGAAGGCATAAATTTACGTTGTAATAAAATTGGAAACATAAAACGAAAAAAGATCATTTGACTGGAATTACCGGAGTCAAATGGGTAATTCAGTGGCCGGAATTATCTCGCTTTCCCCTATAGACCCAGTATCGTCCTGTGTAACTCGTTTTTTATTGAATATTAGCTACGTGCTAAGTTGATATTTCCATCGCTTTTCCACTATTTTCACCGTATTGGGCACCAACAGCACCTTCGTAGGGTAAAAATGACAAAATACAGCGGAAAAGCGTAGGGAGCTTATTTGTCCCGTAGCCTGAGATAGGAAAGTCCTGGAAAAAAGCTGCCGCAGTGAACTTGATATCAAGCGTCGATCGTAAATAAAAGTGAACAAGTTCTATCGTTAAATTTTATCGTGACAATTACGAGAGACAGATAAGAGGAATCGATGTCGCGTACAGGAGTTTTCAGGAACAACGGGACTGTCTCTAACTGGCAACAGCTATTACGGTGTGCACCAACTACCGCGGACCTACCACTGACCCTACATGATCCCTTCAAAGGATTAAACTTGAACGTGTCCGCGGTAAGCGCTTTCTCAAACACGTAGCAACACCGTTTCTATTAACAAAGTAAGCCGAGGTTGCTTCTTGATATAATTGCTTTTCTTTGAGGAAGGAAAACCTGACCGATACGCCAAATCGATGAGAATGTATTATCCAAAGTGAAAAGTTGCATATCTATCGTGCAAGTTTGTTTTCGAATGATCCATTTGGATCGTGGTGTACTTAAACAGAATTTCCTGAAACAAAGCACAGAGGAATTTTGCTTTTCCGATGTCAAATGTTGACATAGATGTGTGTAGTTATACACAAGTTAAAGGAAAATTTTGTGAAATAAAAATAAAAATTATAAATTAAAATAGTAGAATAAAATTAGTAAAATTACTAAAATTAGTAAAATAAAAATTAACTTACGAATTAGGCAAATGCAAGGTTCACAATTTAAGGGTATAAGTACGTTTGAATTTTTTGGACGTATTTATTGTTAGTATCTCCTTAAAGACTTATGAATTATGGAATAATGAACTTTGGAATAAATATTCATAAATTTTGGAATTTAGAGGATAGAATATGTTAAGAAAGAAGTTTGAGTACTATAAAATTGAGATACGTACATTTCGTGAAGTTTTTTCTTAGACTAGATAATGATTTTGTGGAATAAAGAAAATTATTCCCTGAATAATGCGTAGAATAGTGTTGAAATTGGCGCCAAAAGACCGATGTATCTCTGCACCAATGGGAGGCTAGCATCGGTAGGGCCTGGTTTCGAGGCTGCGAGGCTACCGATGTGCAATAGAGAGAACTAGTGTAAACTGGATTGTTCGTGCGGAAGGTAGTCCGGCGATTTTAAGTGAGATAATTTTTTTTGTCGCGTCTGAAGTGTTCGTAGAAGCAAAGAAATCGTGAGTGCTGTTAACACCTAACAAGTTGAAAAATTGGATAATTCTAATTGCGAACAATGGAAAATTCAGACGCGGAGTGTGCTGCGTCACAACGAAATGTGAGGTTATGTAAATGGATCTATTGTAAGAACCGAAGAAAACGCAGCCACGTGGAATCAGAGGGACGAGAAAGCTCTTGATTTAATTATATTAAGTGTAAGGACAAATCAATTAAATTATATTAAACCAGTAAAAACATCGTTGGAAGCCTGGGAAACGATCAAAGACGTGTATGAATCCAAAGGTCCTACGAGACAAAGTGTACTTTTCAAACAAGTGTACAGAATAAAAAAGGAAAGAAACCAAAGCATGGCACAGTATACAAATAAATTTATACACAAGGTAGAGCAACTAGACGAAGCTGTTGTACACTTGCCACATACCATATTATCAATAATGTTAGTTAATTCGCTGCCCAATGAATATGGAACGTTTTGCATTGCTGTCGAATCCAGAGAAAAGATGCTCACGCTTGGTGAACTTGAAGTAAAATTACTGGAGAAAGATACAAGGAAAACAGAAAACGACGGATAACGCGAACTCAACGGTAAAGAGGCACTATTTTCAAGTAAGAAAACACCTTATATTAAAAAAGTGCAACAGCTTTGTGCAAAGATAGCGTATACTACTCTAGGAGAAAATACATAGATATACGATACCATTTCTCTCGTGAGGCGCAAAAGGGTGGTAGATTAATGTAGTACACTTGAGTATGAACGATACGATAGCCGATAATTTAACTAAGGCGTTGCCAAGGATAAAACACTCAAGATGTGTTGGTTGTTAAACCTGTGAGATTGAACTGATCAATTAATTGACATGCGCATAAGGGAGACTGTGGAAATTAGCGCCAAAAGAACCGATGTATCCCTGCGCCAATGGGAGGTTAGCATCGGTAGGGTCTGGTTTCGAGGCTGCGAGGCTACCGGTGTCTAGTAGAAAGAACTAGTGTAAACCGGATTTCTCGTGCGGAAGGTAGTTCAGTGATTTTGTAACAGTTTATGGGCCTAGAGCACATATAAGTGAGGTGATTTTTTTGTCGCGTCCGACGAGTTTGGAGAAACAAAGAAATCGTGAGTTCTGTTAAAACACAATAAGTTGAAAAATTGGATAATTCTAATTACGAATAAATGCAAGATTCAGACGAGGAGTGTGCTGCGATACGATTTGTGGGGTTATGTAAATGGATCTATCGTAAAAACCGAAGAAAACGCAGCCACGTAAACCTTTGCTTTACTATCGAATCCAGAGAACAGATGCTCACGCTTGATGAACTTGAAGTAAAATTACCGGAGGAAGATACAAGGAAAACGACGGACAACGCGAACCCAACGGTAAAGAGGCACTATTTTCAAGTAAGAAAACCTTATTTCTCTCGCGATTCCTATCGTACGAACGATATGATAGCCGATATTTTAACTAAGCCGTTGCCAAGGATAAAACACTCAAAATGTGTCGGGCTGATAAATTCATTGACATGCGCATAAGGGGGAGTGTTGAAATTGGCGCCAAACGAACCAATGTATCCCTGCGCCAATAGGAGGTTAGCATTGGTAGGGTGGTGTGCAGTAGAAAGAACTAGTGTAAACCGGATTTCTCGCGCGGAAAGTAGTTCGGTGATTTTGCAAAAAATAGAATGCTCGTTTGTTTGTAGGTGAATCTTTTAATTCTTTTGACCAATCTAAATTAAATTTTCTATAATATTTGAAATATGACGAATACTTGAGATTCAAATTATAAATCAATTTTCTGCTATTATCAAAACAGGAATTGATTAAATCCTCAATAAAGACCGTACCGAAATTTCGAATCCAATATCGGTAATAAAAATAAATGTACAGCAAATTTTTCTGTAGACTTTTATTTCAAGGGAGAGGTTGTAAACGAAATTAAGATTTATCTACGATCGAAGGGAAGTTTCGAGAGGCCTATGTCGAATCCTAATTCGTGGGAAAGACTTTCCCGTGAAACTGAAGATTTATCGTCAGGTAGGGTGAAGTTCTTTAAACTTTAACATAAAACCTATTTTACGCACACAATTCGTCTTCAGGGCTAAATGTACCTCCATGGTCGATGTTAAACACAATTTAACATTGCGAACGCTCATCTTCGAGTAATTCGCGAACCGGATATCGATACGACGTAAATCCATCAGGCAGAGTGTGCTCGATATTATTCCAGATACCCACTAATTACTTAACGACTTTGAAAGTAATGCAATTAAAACCCGCGGATATTCTGTCGTGAGTTAATTAACGAATCGCTCGAAAACTCGCCGAAAGTTATCTCAACGATGCTTGAGAGTTTTACAAATAAAATTCTGATAAAATGTACAGTCAGGTACTAAATGATTTGCTTAATAGGTACAATGAAGTAGCTCGTTTAAAAGTTTTCAAGAAATTTTTCATTTCGTAGTCGTTTAAAGTTGCATTAGTAACGATTAGGAATTGTGGCTATTAAAAAGAAATTATAAAAGGATGGCTTTATTATTGTAGGAAACGGAATGCAATTAATTAAATTGAAGATTTGTAAAATATAATTATGATAAAGAACACAGTTAACGCTTCATTGTTTCGCAGGAAACGGACCTCTCTCGTTATTGTTTTCCCTATTTATACGGCTTCGTGACCCGCGTTCGCTCTCTCTCACTCTCACGCACTCTCTTCGTAATTTGATCCCTCGCATTCGTAGAAACACACTCGCTCTTGTTTAATAACACGAACGTCGAAAGACCACCGTTTTGCCTATTCGTGTTTCAGGTTCTTTTACGAAGACGAACTCGACCATATGATCGGCCCGCTCCGGTCATTAACCTCCTACATTATGTTGCTCTTAAAGAATATAAAAGTATTTTTTCATTTTTTTCTTTACAAAGCGGAGTCTCTATTTCGATATTTTCCTTTATAATTTACGAATTTATAGTTTTGTAATGTATTTTTGTTCAAAAAATTTTTTTCGGTACTTCTATACCGAATCATAAAACTCGTGCCTTGTTAAATAGATATAAAACGAGCGACCTTCCCAGCGGAAAATCAGTCACTTTTCGACAAATCTTGGCAGATGGATCCCAGCTCTCCTAACCCAAGTGCATCGAGTCCAATTCCACAACTCTCTTTTTGATTCGACAAATCTTGGCAAATGGATCTTAGCCATTCTAACTCAAGTGTGTCGAGTCGTATCGATCCAAGTCTATAGTCGCTTTCCAACTATCGTTCCTTTACTTCTCATAATAACAACCTTACGAATACGGTATATGTATAAAATAAACTCGTGATCCAGTTTAGATTTGATACGAAGGAATTTGCAAATTTTTTGAAAATAATCTTTTAAAATTCGTAAAATCGAGAAATTCAATTTTTCGAAATCTACGAATAGTTAGAGTATCTTAACCAATCGGAAGATCGACGATAGAGTTGAAACTGAACACCTGGTGCATCCATCGTTCTCACAGAAAATGAATTCACTCAATATTGGCGTGTGTTCAATGTAGCAGTTTAGAGTAAGATCAAAGAGCAGTATATTAATTATATCGGGTCGCGCAGACGAGTCGAACAGTTATGTACATATATACCGTGAAGCAATTAGACCAGTTTGACCTAAAGTTAAAATTTCACCGTCATAAACGAACTAGCCACTTTGCCATAAGTAGTCACGTGTCCATCTGGTTCATCTCCCCTTTCGTTCATCTCGAATGTCTGATTAAATATTGAGTGTTATACTGTAACGAGCTACATCGATGTCTGTCTACATATTGCACGATTCTACTTCAGGTAAAATATCGTGCAGTACGATTGCAAGCACTTTACTTACAAGGGGACATATCGAAGTGTCAATCATCGATTTTCATGAAATGTAAGTATAATGTAGTTCTCATAAAAATACTGCATTTGATGCGTACTTTTTTTTTTGTTATCGGCAACCATTCATGTTAAAGGGGTGAAAACCACCCTTAAAGTTGAGACTGCGAAACCTATTTCGACGAATATCTCGGAAACTACTTTTTCATTTAATTGATTTTCTATTTATTTACCTTTTATTTTTACTTTTATAGTTTATTGATTTATTTATTCTCGTATTAGAATTATTTTGATAATTTTGGTTAAATTTATTTATAATGAGTTTAATTTATTGGTTTCTAATAAGTATCAACCTAATATTATTGTTTTTGTTAGTTTATTGATTTATATTATGTTATTAAATTTGTTTGGTTTATTGCCTTATGTTTTTACTGTTACTAGACATATTTCTATTAATTTGATTTTGTCTTTATCTTTGTGATTGGGTTTTATTTTTTATGGTTATTTGAATAAACCAACTATAGTATTTAGGCATCTTGTTCCTAAGAATACTCCTAGGTTTTTAATGAATTTTATAGTTTTAATTGAATTTGTTAGAAATTTAATTCGGCCTTTGACTTTATCTATTCGGTTGACAGCTAATTGTCAGTTATTGTTCAGTAATTGTGTAAACTAATGAAATTAGTATCTTTTCAGGACGAATTCGACGGTGAAAATTATTTCACAAAAAAGTCCATTTATTTACATGATATATTAAAAAATAGCATATTTTTGGTAATTTGTCCAGCTCAATGTTAATACATTTTCTTGAATATTTGTTTATAAAAACCATATAGGAAGGTATACGAAAGACGAATTGACTGGATTTTTTAGGGGGTCCGATCGTGACTGCCGCGAATGCAAGAGAATTTTTCTGGAGTCCGCAGTGACTGCCCCGCCAAGTGCAAGAAGGAACGCTGATTGTTTTGTCACGAAATTAATTACCAATCAACGTGCCTCTTGAGTGTCGCTCACCTTTCCAGTGTGCCTTTAGCGCACTTTTTCTTGGAAGATGTGGGACGATACCTGTGGGTACGTGAAATATTCGAAGTCCTTCGGTCCCGCCAGATCAGCCCTCGACCGAGAGTGCCGTTACACGCACGCAAGGAACACCTCGTTTATGGCGCGTTTTCGGCTATCGAGGACGCAGAAAAACGAGAATTCTAAAGCAATTGTTCGGAAGACGTTAATTATCCCTCGCGATGCTACGAAGCGTCTTACTTTAAAAAATAGTCTTGCCTGTGAGCGTGTCATAAATCTGGTCAACGAAGACCTCATGTGTTCCGTCCTTGCGCGATGGAACAATAATCACAGATATGGTACTTTAAGCCAAGTTTTCCAATTTCCATATTTCATTTGGTGAAAAGACACAAACTTGTTACAGGCTTGTTCCTACAATACCAAAAGGTATCGTCTTGTAACAAGATATAAAAACATGTTAAGTAACAAGGTTGTAGTAAAACAATTTGTTTCGTTATATACTGTAATGCAGTTTATCACTTTACCGACCGGTAGCCTATTAATCGGCTTTTCGCCACCAACGCTTACCGACCGGTAGCCTATTATTCGCTCTTTTCTATTAATCGGTCAAAGTTTGATTTAACATTTCTATAGGTATACGAAAAAGCGCATATATTCCCGCGCGATAGCCTAGAGTCTAAGCAGAGCCGGTGTCAGCGATGTATCTGTGGCCGAGTGAGCGATCGGAAGTGCGTAGGATGTTGAACCCCTTCCGGTCGGTAAAGGTGTTAAGTATCACTTGCCGCAAAACTGCTGAGAATCTCCATGAGAAATTCATTCTCTTACCATGCTTTCCATGCCTGTACACAATCTTCCATCTGCGATATTCATTCTCGGCAAAAAATCACTGTAGCAATAATTTCCATAAGAATAAATAAACAGATCCAGCGTGAACGGACGCGACAAAGCGACACGATGGTCGGCCACCTCTGGAGCAATTATTAGCGTTGAACATGTCGCCGCTAATAGACTGGTGTGGGCATAAACATTTCTCAGAGGGCTGTCAGCCTCGGCCATGGCGACACGCCACTCTCTCGCGCTGCTCTGCGAGTTAATAGCCCGTACTTTCAGCCCGTAACTCCAGGGCCGATCTAGATAAAGCTGCTTTATGAAGCCAGAGTGTACACACTGTTCCTCTTCTACAGTCGTTCCCGCTACCCCACGTGTCGCCTGCACTCTAGACGATTCGTAGGCCAACAATGCGACACCGTCGTCTAGACGCGTTCCGTCGTCGACCCGCCATCGCTTCAACGCCGACCTAACTCGCCCAGCCATCGAGAAGCTGCTTCAGGTATTTTCTCACACAACTGTGTACGAGTTTGCTTGCTCCATAGTTTCCGCAACATTAACAGGCTGTTTCTAGCGGTACGCGGTTCCCAGAATGTGATTTAGGGGAATTAGGTACGTTACCCACACGTTTAACGTCGCCAACCTGAGATCACCAGTGTATGGACGTACGATAGATTGTTCCAACTGTGATTACGTACACTGCTGTTCAGAAGTATTAAGACACCTATTGTACTCGAACAGAAAGTATTGTACGATTTGAATTACATTTTTTTTCGCTAAACTTAGTATTGCATCGTTACTTTAGTACCGTGATCGAACATTGTTAGACTCGTTAGCGGAACAACCGAGTTCATTAGCAAGTTTTAGCATTGCCAAGTTCAGCAATAACCCCCCCATTTTGTAACATTTTTACATTCTAAAAATTCGAGAAGAGAGTCGAAAGTTACATTTACATCCTCTGAGAAAATTGAAACTTTTCGTTTAGTAGTTAGCTATGAAAAAAATTCCCCAACTTTTACCTATTTTCAGAAGCTTCAGGGTGATAGATGTTATTAAGTACACTGTATTCGCACTGAATCAAGTACTTCTTCTAAATTTGATTTCAAGGAATTTTTCCTACGTTTTTCAAAATACAAGTGCGCCAGAATCTCGTCCTATTTAAAGCACAACGAAAATGCTTACGAACGGTTAGAAATCCTATCTGCACGAGATACGACGTATTCTCTCAACAGCGAACTCAGACCGCGCGGCAGGAAACTAAATTTGTTAAAACGTTGAAAAAGAAGCGTAACGGGTGGAACAATGTCTGGTAGAACAAACGCGTGAACATTTTTTCGCATTATTTCCACGGGCTGAATTCATCCTTCGTATTTACACTTACATTTCAATAAATACTCTGCAAACACGAAAAGCGAAAGCGCAAAGTCTCAAATGCTGTTTCTCACTAATGAAGTGCATTCGCGGCGCGCGCGATGCAACTGGAGAAATGTAATTTTCAAAATGTAAACAGTTACGTCTGTCGGCTTTGCGAGCTGCAACGCGAAACGTATGCACGTTGTGAAAAACGGGGGATAAAAAAGGAATATACGCGCGTATAAATCTGTCGTTTTCACACGATATATTTAATTGACACACAACGCGGTACAAAGTTTCGTACAATCACTTACAGGCTGGCGCTGTCCGCGCTGCTGCACTGTAATACCAACGATACCGCGAATGGTATCGCTTCTTTTTTTTTTTTCATATTTTTGTCGCGGTCTTTACAAACGGCAGAGTGGCCCGCGCTCGTTTTCATATTTGCGAAAGGGGCGGTCTGTCAGGCGAGAGGCGGTCGGAATATTTTGTCGCTTCGTCCCTCTGCCATCCGTGATATTTCATCGCGGCGACGATAAATGAGACGTTTTCGTGCACGGACGCAAACGCGAGCGAGCTTTTATAATTTCCCCGCTCCCTCGGCTGTATATTAACCTGACTGGTGCAGGATCCTCGAACGGAATTACTTATCGAACGTCGAACGAGCGTCGATCCGCGTTAACTTCCGGCGTTTATGAACCCCGCACGTGCGTAAAGTCGCGTTCCCAACGACCAGGAGTGGGTCAGTTGTTGTATCTATGGTGAATAGCATATGGCGTGCGGAAGTTTTATTCTGCAAACGGAGAAATTTATCGAGATATGCGGACGTCGTGTTGTGACAAATCTTGGCAAAGAGACAAGCGGAGATGAGTTTGATGTTGATAAACCGAGGCTGAAATGTTGGTCTTTGATGGTGGATAATGAATTTGTTCTTTAGGATGCTGGTGTTAGAAAGCTACAAACTGTAATATAAATATAATAAATACGGATAGTATAAGAGTAATGCAAAGATTGCAATAATAACAATCTCTGCGCGTTGTTTTGTGTATTCATTTTAATAGGTGTACATATTTCTGAATAGAAAATTCCAATTATGGATTACTTCCTTCCGATTAGGAATAATTTATATCGAACGAAAGTTACTCTTTATTAAAAGTCGTACATCTTTCAGACACTCTGATCTTGAGAACAAAAAATTAAGTAAAAATAAATTGTGAAGGTGTGAAAGGAAATTACACGGAACATGGTTAAATGAATGTATGAAAATACTGCAATAGCTTGATTTTTGAGAATTCTATCCCATTGAGACATACGCAAAACGACAAAGTAAAATAACGAATATAACATTCATCTATCTATTCCTCTGCAACATCTCTAATATTAAAATGCACTCGAATCCGAATTATATTTATTGGAAATGGGTTATGGAATGAAATACGTCATTTAACTTTGTAATATACGATTTATTTACGGTCTCAGAGGAAACGTCTTTACTCTATTGAATCTTCTGAAGGACTGTTTCTGGGCACCCAAAAGAAAGTTGGGGTCCCCTTATACCTAGAAACTGTTTACATTACGGTATGGCATTGTGCAATGAGTGGACTCGAAGGCGGACACCAGATGCATCTGGTGGAAGTCTTAGTGCCTTTGTTTAAAATAACCCGGAGACATTTTTGTCCTTACTTGATTATTTCCATAGGGTGTTGTTAGAAATAATCCAACAATATTCATTTAAACATTGTCTGTTAAACACACACGGGAAGCGTAACATGTCTCCGCTTTGAGGCAACGAACGATGGTTCAGAAACGTGCCTGACATTTTCCAGCCGAGCGATTTACGTTTTATAAAACGATTCGACTGTTCGTCGACGAAATCGCAGAAGAGTCAGTTACAGCTAGGCGTTATCCTTTGTTCCTTTATCCATCCCCTTGCATTTCATCCTCTCTCCTCATCCCTCCGCCTCCCCGAATCACGGTATACCAATGGAGTACAAACACTTGAAATTATTTGCATACTTGGTCACGGTGTACAATAGCCGCATAACAGAAGAGGCTATCAAAATATTTCGTCGCATCCCCTTTAGCCTTCCATAAATTCACTTTGCATGCCTGTTTCACTCCGCGGCGGTGCGAACGATGGATGAGTCCTTCTTTTTTAATTTTTTATTTCCATTCGCGGCGAATGTCACCGAACACCGCGAAGCAAATCGCTATGGGGATAATAACGTGCAATACTCTCTATTATATAAACGTCGTTCGCGTGCACGCATCAATTCAAACGTGAACGTAAAACGCAGTTTCATTGCGTCCCTTTAATTGAGTAATTTCCAATAATTATTGCTCGTTACCGGGCTCGCGATGAACGACCCGTTGTTTAAATAACGAGCGTGAACGTTCCGCTGGATTCTAAGCGACGTTTGTTTACTCCCCCTGGAGTTGATTGAAAATCGTGGATATAAGGGTGTGTAATGGACG